CTTGATTCTTTGTCGAATTTATTGTCAATTTTCTACTACTCACTTCATTTTTACTTCAAAATGTTTGTATCATTGCAGCACGCCACTCAAAAATTTCTTCACAATAATATTTCAATTCTAGTACTCTGCCCATTTTAAATCTAAAAACTTTCTGTTCTCAAATATAATTTTGCGCGGCACGTCATTTTCACAATTTTAAGATTACTTTCCATTTTAATTAAATTGTTTTAAATAAATTTGATGTAGCACTGTTTTACAATTTATCGCTCTTTTTCCCGGCTTTAAAATGACAACTTTCTTGAAGTGCATGAAAAAACCAGGCGGAATCGGGTGGATTGATATTTATATATATATATATATCTATATCAATATGGGTTCCCCTTGGGAAAACACCCATTTCCTGTATTTTTTGCACAACGAAATTTACTGTGACTGTGACAAGTTACTATGACAAACAGAAATGCCATCTGTAAATTCAATCCACTCGGTTGTATTCTATATCAATCAGACTTCAGGAACATTGAACTGTTTTAACTTGTCCATTTCATTTCTTCCCTATCCTCACCCTAAAGTAAAGGGAACTTAACCTGGTTTTGACAAAGTCTAAAACTAGGGGCATTCGAAGGCACATTATCTCCACTGAGCAACCGATTTTGATCAGAACTCCTACATTGGCATTGAAAGCCACCGTGTAACTTTTGAATACAGTAGGAAAATTAGAAGGCAACTGATTCATTATCATTGCTGACGTGAATTTCACATGTAACCAAACGCGTTTTGTCTGTTTGATCAAATTCTGTAACCTTCAACTTTGTTTAATGAACTTAAAATAACATGAAATCTACAAGTATCATTAACAACTGAAACGAGGAAAGAATCTTTGAATAGCGCAACTTGAGCTCTCTCTGAGAACCTTTTTCTCTCGCAGTATTTGAATTATTCTCGAGTAAACGGAACAGTAGAAAATAACCATTAATGAAGTACATAGTCTAACTCTTTAATGAAACCTAACACTCAATACATATTTGTGAGGTGCCTCAGTTCCAACTACAGCCTTGGCATCATTCGTCAGATAAGCCATCATGTCACAATGTACTAGATCCGATTTGCTTCTCGCTTCGTTGCCTTTTTTGAAATGTTGTTGGAGCGGGATGAGAGCTCTCGGAAAGATCGATCAATATTATTGGAATTGTACTATTTTACTTTTATAATTGATGTGGAAAAATTTTGAAAAGGCTGATTAGAAAAAGATTTAAGTAGACAAAGGAAGTAGACAGAGTTTTTATTGAAACAAACACGGTTTCAGAGTCTCAGTGGGGTGATGGCTTTTACGGCTATCGGTTACAGTAAACCTTTCTTACGACTAACGATTAAAATTTGTCAACTTTTACGACCAACAGCTAAAATTTATGGTTGTTTTACGGTTAGCGGTTAACACCATCAGGCCCTAAGATTTGCATTTGTGGAGAAAAATTTATTTGGCGCGAACAGTTGCGAACGCCAAAGTATTTTGCGCAGAGGAAAAGAAATATGGAAAAAGGGGGATTCGAAAACTAACAAAAAATAGGCCTGTATTTTTAGAAAGGAACTCAAGATGGAGTCTTAGTCCAGAAAAAATGTTGTCCAAGCAAGAAACCTAAAGACGATTCCGTGGGATACGTTGGCAACTGAGCGTAGCATTGGAAGGGATTGTGCAGCAACAGTGCATTCAGTTCTGTTGTTCTGTTGTGTGTCGTTGGCAAGTACTATTTCAAATTGTTCCAGTAAAGTTTAAACGTCATTGTGTGTTATGAGAAGACCATAGAGCGATGTCTATTTCAAAATAAACCTTACGCAAGGTAGGAAGTAAATCGATAGATTTTATGACATATTTCATGGTTAATCACACCAAAACCAACGCTTCCTTTGTATCAACATCGCCTAGATCCATTTGTGTTAAACTGGCGGCGAAAAAGCGATGATCTCTCACCAAAATCGTGTATTTTTCGCATCAAAACAACCTGGCGCAAACACAAAGATCCGATTACTGACAACTCATATATTGCTTAGAGATACGGACAATGTCAAAAATTGCAGGCATTTCAAGAATTAATGAAATCGTCGTTTTGCTTTAACCATGGGAAAATGAAAGCCGGCCAAATTCTATCGTAGGCCTGCCACAGAAAAGAACTACCACAAACCACTTGTCTGATGATGTTAGAGGTTAAGGTCGAACAGGACCCTGTGGTATTCCATGTGGTAATTTTTGAAAATTCAATATGGCGGCGTGCGACGAACTCTGTGGACGAATTGAAGACTTTAGTTTGGGAAAACACAAATTCTTGTTTTAAGAGTACAGACAGTTCTTCCAACATAAGACGGATAATTTTTGGCGTTGGAAAAAAAAGCTAATTAAAAGAGCACGGGAATGATTTCAAATATATGAGAATCATATCTGTGAACTGCGGGTGAAGAATTGAATATGGAAGCGATCTTCGTAGTTATGAACACTACCTAAACAATATGGGATATGAACCCATGATCTCTGCGATACCAGTGCAGCGCTTTACCAAATGAGCTAACAAGCCAAGTGGGAGCTAGTCATTATGTTGGTCTCAAATAAACCCATGAAGTGATAAATAACTAACTGTAAATATATGAGAATCAAATGTGAACTGCGGATAACAGATGAATATGGAAGCGATCTTCGCAGTTATGACAACTACCTAGGCAGTAGTGAAAATAAGGCCATCCTTTTTAATTGCTGATACGCAGCCAGTACTAATAAGCAGCTACTGAAACGGAGTTACTAATATAAAGCCATAAATAAAGGTCCTCCTGATACAGATCTATGCACTTTTACGAAGGTACTGATATGCAGCTACTAATTCACAGCTGCTGTTACGGAGCTAGTAATAAGGGATCTAGTAACGCAGGATCTACTGATAAGGAACTACTGATACAGACCTACTACCTGTTTCAGAGATATTAGATCAGACTGACTAGGTTTATTATCAACCTGACTGAACTGTACAATGAAGGTGAGGTAATTAGTTACTTAATGATTGTGACGTGACATAAGTGATTGACGGGCGTATAGATGTTCATGACAACCAGGAGGCTACTGATATGCAGCCACTAATTCAAAGATTCTGCAACGGAGATACTGATATGGAGCTATTGGTACAGGGAAAATGATACGGAGCTATAGATATTGGGACACTGATAGGGAACTACTAGTACTAAGCTACAGAAACGGTGCTACTGTAGGGAGCAACTGATACCGCGTTTCTAAAACGAAGCTACTGATGTAGAGCAGCTGACACGGAGCTACTGAGACCAAGCTACTAATGTGGAGCTTCTGATACAAAAGCCACCTATATGGAGCTATTTGTAAGGAGCTACTGATATGGAGCTACTTATAAGGAGCTATTGATAAGAAGTTACTAAAACAGAGCTACTGATGCAGGAGCCTCTGACACAGAGTTACCGATTCGGAGCAACCTATGAGAAGCTACTGATATTAAGTTACAGCTACCGCGCTACTCATTACGAGATACTGGAAAAGAGCTACCTATATAGAGTAACTAATGGAAGCCACTGGTACAGGAGCTTCAGATATAGAGCTACTGATGCGGAACAACTTAAACAAAGCTATTAATATGGAGCTACTTTTACAAAGCTACTAGTTGGTGTCTCATTATATGGAGCTAATGATACGGAGCTACTGATGGGTAGTTACTGATACAGAGTATATAATATGGAGCCACTGATATGAAGTGAATGATACAGGAACTACTGATACGTATTAAGTAACAGGGGAGCTACTTATATCGAGCGTCCGATTCAAAGCTACTGATATGGCCCTACTCATATAAGGAGCTACTAATACGGAGGTACTAATACGGTGGCACTTTTATGGAGATACTTGCATGGAGCTACTTATAAAGGAGCCACTATTACGCAGCTTCTAATATGCAGCTACTTATACGGAGTTATTAGAATGGAGCTATTGATTAGGACCTACTGAAGAAGAGTTAATGACGCCGCTGATACAGAGCTACTGATACAGAGCTACTAATACAGAACCACTAACACAGACTTACTGATAAGAAGCTACTAATATGGGGTAACTGATACGAAGGAAGTGATGCGGAGCTACTCATACGAAACTTCTGTAGCCACTGTTACGGGGCTAATATTGCGTAGCTAATGGTGAGGAGCTGCTGATACAGTGCTACCAGAACAGAGCTACTGATACCAGGGCTACTGATACAGGAGCTACTGTTAAGGAGATTCTGATACTGAGCTACTAACACTGAGCTACTGATAAGGAGCTACCGATACGGAGGCACTGATAAGGAGCTACTGAAACGGAGTTTCTGATAGGGAGCTAAAGATAAAGGGGCCACTAATAAGGAGCTATTGAAATATGTTTAATGTTTTGTAATTGTCTGGGAGAGAGTTCCATATTTTGCTAGCTACGTATGAAAAAGAGTGCAGACCGTAAGTCGTTGTTTTTGGGTTGAGAAGGGCCAGGATATGATTTCCGCGCAAATTGTGGGATGAAGACCGTACGGTGAACATATCTTTTAAATAACCTGGAGAATTTGTAAAGAACAGACTCTCAGATAACGTGATCATGAAGTTCTGGAGGCGTCTAATGAATAGAGATTTTAAGTTAACTTTCCTTAGTAGAATGTCATATGGAGAGCTGTAGTCCTGTAGTGTAAACCTAAGAATGCGCTTATTTAGATTATCTACTTTGTCGGCATTGCGCGCACCACAGAAATGCCAAACAGAAGAACAGTAGTAAAAATGCGGCAAAATAAAGGCTTTATAAAGCTTCAATAGCGTCTCCTTATCAAGAAGTTTCCGAAATCTGAGCGTTAAACTGATTATTTATTTTCTTACAGATAACTGATACGTGATTATTAAGAGAACCTATTATCTATTATCGCTACCATCCTAACATTGTTTTCACCGTCGAGGAAAATCCCGACCACTTCCTCGATACTGCCTTTAGCTATACCAACAAGTTCAATTGCAGCGTCTTCAAGAAACCGGGGAAACTACCAACACATTGGAAATCTGAGGGCCCTACCAAGTGGAAAAGGAATTGCATCACTGGCGCACTCCATAGAGCCAAACGCATCTCTACCGATTTTGACAAGGACATAAAAACTCTAGAAACTTCTTTCATCAATGCAGGTTATCCGAAACGTTTTATTTCGCATACAATCAACAACTTTCTAAACGACTCGTCACAAGATGACAACTTAATTCCGAATTTTCTCTTCGAAGAACGAAAGAAAGTTTTCTTCAAGCTTCCTTTTTGCGGTAAAAACGAAAAACTCAGTGAGACGTTTATTGAAAAACTAAACAAGTTTACTAATTTCAATTTCATCTTTATAATCCTGTGGCAAACAAGGCAAATCAAAAGCCTCTAACAACAAATACAAAAACACTCACAGATCCAAAGTTGTTTACAAAGGTGATTGCTCTTGTGGCGTTGATTACATTGGCGAGACTGTGAGAAACTTAGCAGTACGAATTGCGGAGCATTCAAATCCTGCTCACACCTCTGAACCTGCAAAACACCTGCGGGAAAACCCATCACATTCTTTCACTTGGCGTGTTCTCTCCTCAGCACAAACATTCCACGATCGTAGGATCGTCGAGGGACTAATGATCCAACAATTCCGTCCCAGTTTGAACAAACAAGTTATTTCTTATGTCTCCATACTTTTCCCATCGGGAATTACATAAGATATATATGTACGTGTGGACGGTCATCTTTTTTTAACCCTGATGATGGCAAACAGCCGAAAACGTTTGGTTTAAACATTTTAATTTTTTAACCTTTTAGCCTTGTATATAGAATACATTTTACAAAGCGAACATTATGGACAATCATGCCATTGTTTTTATACCGCTGATTTGCGACATTAACTTCTTGACAAATGCATTCTTCCAGTGCAATTGGGCCTAGGTTAGACGAATAAATCTGATGGTCGACTGCGTACTATGCGTTTTTCACATGCTGAAACAAGTCATTAATGAATATATTAAAAAAAAAATTGGTCCGAAACGCTCCCTTATGGCACTCCTCTTCTGGTGCCCACCCAGTTGGAGAAGGTATCTCCAATCTTTACTCGCTGCTGTCTTCCTGACAAGTAGTCTTTAAGTAGCGCGCAACTTCTTTCGCCAACTCCATATGCTTTGAGTTTTGCCAGGAGTAAGTCATACTGAATGACATCAAAAGCTTTAGAAACGTCCATAGAAACAATCGCAACTAGTTCCCCCTAATCACGCATGCGCCCACAGTCCTCTGTCAGCCACAATAATGCAGTTTCACGACTGTAGAACTTCCTATATGAACTAATAAAGTCCGACAGAACAGCGCCATAGAATTTACCCAACTGCGCTGCCAGTAGTCTCTCGTAGATATTATTAAGCACAGGTAACACTGTGACAGGCCTGTTATTTGCTTCATTAGATTCGTCGCTCTTTTTTAAACAGAGGTGTGACCTGTCCCATTTTCCAGGCATTGGGGTAGCTCAATGGAGGTCTTCAAAATATTAGTGATAGGTTTAGCTATGACAGATCCCTTGGGGACAGCATATCGTGGCCGCACGATTTACGGACATTCACGTCCAAAAGTGCTCTTTCTACTTGCGCTTGATTGATGTGTTGAAAATTAAAACAAAGTGGTGCGTCTGTTGCGCTGTTCTTCTCATGAATAGCTATAATGCTTGGGTGGTTTTCAAAGTGTTGAGATGCTGATAGAAGGAAACTGATGCGGATTTACTGGTACAGGTTTACTGATACGGAGCTACTGATACCGAGCCCCTGACAGAGAAGGTGATACAGAGTACCTGATATGGCTTTACTAATACAGAGCTAGTGATATGGAACCACTAACATCGAGCTAGTGATACTGAGCCACCGATGCAGAAGCTACTGGCACAAAGCTGGTAATGCGGAGCTACTAATATGGAATATTATTGATGCTGAGATATGACCGAGATGCTAACTGATAAGGATTTACTCATATGAATTTTTACTACAGAGAAACTGATCCTGAGCTATGAATACGGAACCACTGAGACAGAGCTATTCATAGGGAGCTACAAACAAACTGATAAGGAAATATTGTCTCTGAGTTAAGACAGAGGTACAACTGATGCATATTCACTAATACAGATTACTGATATGGAGCTACTGATTAGGAACCTCTTACAGCTATCTACTGATATGGAGCTCTTGTATCACTAGATCTATCCGAGTAGCTCTGTATCAGTAAAGCCATATCAGTGCTCTGTATCTTATGAGGAGCCTCTAATATAGAAAGGTAGGTATTAGCAGGACCATCCATGCAGAAGCTACAGGTACAAAGCTGGTAATATATAGATTTAGCCGGGCCTAAAAGCGGAACTCTTGTTGTAAGTTTATTTTCTAGCCCCTCATTATAATAAAAACTGGAAGGTCTGGAACCTGGGGACGAAGTTCTCACAACTTGCAAAGCCATCAACACGCATGCTTCTCCGTGGTATCTTCGGGCAGCCGAGGACCTTTGTTGTTATTCTCGATGCTTCGAGCAAATTTTCGAAGATAAGGAATCTTTTCTTCTTCAGATGACGTGTGTGATGTCAATATCAGTTGAAATTATATTCTTTTGAGCGCGACTGTTAATTTTGGTAAGGGAAAATGAGCCAAAATTGAAAGAAACGACGGTAAACTACTTCGAGTTTAGACATCATCGATCTTTGAAGAGTATACAAGTGATAACAGTGAATTAGTAAATCAAGACACCAGAATCGTATGGGCTTCTCCTATATTTCTCTTGAAGTTGCCAGGTATGGCTGCTTGCCCCACCGTTTTTCCCTAACGTTTCAACCTCCTCTTTTTAAGATTTTTTCCGTTATTTGATTCAGTAACCTCTGCTGTAAATACTTACAATGTAGGTTTCTTTAAGCCAACTGCCCATGATCTTAGCAACTCTAGCTAATGAAATACGAAATTTGTCGAACATGTTTCTTGCGCTGCAAAAAATATCATCATTAAACCTTGATAACGAAGAGAGACTTATGATTCGATCATGAAGACATTTGTGGAAAACTTGAGATAATACATAGATTTTATTTTTACATCACAGAAATCAATTCCAAACATCAATCAAGTTTTCTCTTTAGTTTTAAAGTTGAGGTGATGTTGTTATTGGCTATATTAAATGGGTTGAAAAGTTTTAGAGGGTACTTTCTTATGCTTTCAAATAGTTTAATTTACTGGAAGGTAAAGTTGTTGCATCATGTTAACATGAAACACAACAATAAATTTTAATGATATGTAAAAAGTTTTCATTTGACTATCTACTGGCAAGTCGTTGTATTATATTTCAACCCAGCCATTTTCCACAATTTGTAAACACCATTACAAAATAATAAGTAAGGGAAACATACACCATGCCTGAAATGTCATCTCCATAGTAAGTGAACAGGATTGAGGAGGGCGTATGTGGGAATAGGCTCTCTTGTCTGTATCGTTAATTTGCTAATTGCTTCTGTTGCCGATGTTTTGATGGGATTGGGCTGTCAAGGTAAAGGAACTAAGAATTTCAGTAGGCAGTGACTTTTTCCAAACCTGGAAACTATCATCGTGAAAGCCATACTTGTGCCTATTAACTCATTCTTATTCTGATAAACTAGTTTTAAGAAGGATACCTTATTTTATTACAAAAATGTGATGCATAGGCTGTGCACAAAACTTTAATTTTACTATGATAGCCAATACCAATCTCTATGCATGACAAAACGTTAGTAGGATCAGTGAAAAAATTAATGTACCAGAATGTAAAATTTGTGTGAAAAATTAAAACTCAGCAGAGGCCAAATAAACAAGATTCTTAGAAAAAGAAATGTGTACCAATGAAAAAAGCTAAGCAACCTTTTTACAACACCTGCCTGTGCCCGCATGGCACGTAGTAAAGTCATTCAAAGTAGTCATGATCCCAGTTTTATATGTTGAAAACGCACACAAATGCAGATTTCTTATAAACCGGTAGTTTAAGCCTGCCATGACTTTTTGATACACACCTCAAAAGGAGAAGAAATAAATTTCGAGTTTCTATTCATTCAGTTTAGGTTTGTGAGGTAAAATTGAGTCAAACATTCATTTAACCACAGGTTCAAGAAATTTTCACAACCAATTTATTAGGTTAGCCTAACTGGAACAATCAACTTCATGTACAAATAAGACCAGGTATGTACTGATGATACACAAAAGAACTATCTGTGATAAGAGGGCAGGTTTTCCTTTCTCCATTTCAAAAAATACTGAGGTTATCATCTTTCCACAAGCTCAGTGGAAAGTGAGAGTGAGAGAGACTGATAGTGGCTATGTAATTTGAGTAAATATCCAGAGAAGGATAAAAGGCAAGATATGGTCTGCACAACTTTCTTATTTTAATTTTATAACCTATTAAGCTAAGTCATTTATATTCTTGCTTTGTGCAATATGCAGATGCCAATTAATTTAACTTTCATTCAGGTTAAAGTAAAAACACGAATTAAAATAGCAGAGCCCACTTTAATTTCAGTCATAATTAAAGGGGATCTTTGTTTTTCTAGTTTTCCATCCTTTAAAACTCACATATTTTGTAACTAATTCCTTATGTCAATGTTTAGTTTGGGTATGAGTATCGGTAAGAAACACCACGCATGAATGATAGCTTGAGCAAGAGCATTTATTGCAATCTAAATAATAATATTGCATGTTAGAATGTGGTAACTTACACAGCAAAATTATTTAATCACACAATTCCAAACAAGGAAGTCAGGTTATTGACTCACCTGCTGTAACTTTTGAGGGCCTATGATACAGAAAAATAGATATGGCAAACAGTTACAGTTAATACAAAGTTGAAAGTTTGAAAGCTAAGAGATATACATTACAATCATCAGACCCTACGCATCCTAGCAAAAAAGGATCAGTTAACACTATACCTTCTCCCAAACATTCATACTTACAGGAAATCATCAATTTTTGTCACTAGGTGGTACTGTACTTACAATAGCTCTACTGACACAAATGCATTTTTCTGAAGTTATCTCATAGCTTATGACTGTACAGGTCATCTGGAAGGTCCCTGCTTGAGGACCGACATTTCAATTACCTCAGCAAACTGTAATCATCAGAATTGCAAGCCAAGGTGTATTTACCAAGTGCTCAAGTTTCCAAAGTAGTCACCTATTGGTTACAGATGAGTTCACTCCTTTTTTGAGGCCATCATCAGCTTGATCATCCTGTAACATGTGAAAACATCAAATGTTACTCTCATACTCAAATACTTGCTTGAATCAAAAGTTATAATTTTTTTAATAACCTGTTTCCTTTAACCCTTTAATCCCTGAGAGTGACTAGCATGTAATTTCCCCTTTTAATATCACCC